GTAGTGTTGAAGAATGTAAACATTGACAATACCAGTAATTAGAGAAATCATACCATTATCTATCATCATGTTACAAGCAGTATATAGTAATACAGTATGTACTAACACACATAACATTTTATGGGATTCCTGCAGACGACAGGAATCTATTTTAGTAACACATTGTCTTGTTGTACAGATTCTCATAAAACTGCTGCAGAGGATTATCTTTTATCTCCACAATTTTTGTTTCATCAGTATAATTGTAAGGCTCTTTTTATATACAATAAGGATTATCGACAATACATGAACCCACTCCATAAATTGAGAATAGTATAAACTATCATACCTTACTGTCTTTGCGTGATAAAGGATTGGTGAAGAATTCAAATATTGACATTACCAGTAATTAGTGACTATTAAGAAATCATACCATTATCTATCATCATGTTACAAGCAGTATATGGTAATACAGCATGTACTAATACACATATGTACCTGAACACAGTTGATATTACTAATCTCAGTACATCAGTAGACCTTACTTAGGAATGATAAGGAGTGGTAACACTGTGGGGGCTGCAATTAGTGAACATACATACAGTATTGTAACTGGAGCTATGGCGTGTCTACACATCAAAGGCCCTTCACTGGTTTCTGTATATTACATAGTTTGTGGCTTCTATGATGATATAAAAGTGGTAGACAGTAAGAGCTGAACTCATTGCAATAAAGAGACAACTATCAGTTTATAATGGAATCACTGCTACTAATAAGAAGTATACTAGTACGATACAATATATATGATAGTGTATGGTACTATCTTTGCAGCTTATACTGAGTACATGTTATACAAATGGACTAATGCTCTCTGACTTGTACCCATATGGTACAGAACATGGAGACACCACGAGGACTGGATCTAGTCTCCCTGTAGCACCATTACTGGCTCCAATTAATAATTTAGTTAGATTTGGTCCAGCTGAAGTTATAGGAACAAGATATTTAGTTAGTAGCTACACACACACACACACACACACACACACACACACACACACACACACACACACACTCACACACACTCACATTATTAGTGCTTTAGTTTGTAATGTAGTGCAATTGTACACTAACCATTATCTGTTCATTTTATTAGTAACACAATTTATTGATCATTTCTCAGTTTATGACATTTACCAGGAGTCCATAATGTTGGGTTAAGGAAGGAGTAGGAGTGTGAAACGCCCCCGCTTTAACGAGCTTTTCTGTCTGCCTACCAGAGCTAGCGGATATACTATTTTTAGAATGATTATTATAGTTATTAATCAATAATTAATGACCACGCCCAACAAGTTTATCATTCTTCTACCTATACTCCTATACAATGC